AGGGGGGTTCCTGACCCCCTGCCAGGGTCCCAGGCCCTCCAGGGCAGCCAGAGGGAAGCCCTGGATTCCCACAGGATGAGTGCCCCCATCTGAGCCACAGATACCCAGTTTCACAGAAACCCAGAATGAGACAAGTTGGAAGGGATCACAGTGGGTCATGGGATACAACTGCTCCAGCAGTGTGATCCTAGAGCACATCGCACAAGGTTGCATCCAGACTGTTCTTGAAGATCTCCAATGAGCGACACTCCACACTTCTCTGGGCAATTTGCTCCTGGGTGCAGTCATCTGCACAATAAAGAATTTTTTCCTCTTATTTCAGTGGAACTTCCTGTGCATCCATTTCTGCCTCTTGCTCTATTGCTTGGCCCTACTGAACTGAGCCTGGCTGCATCCTCTTGGCACCCTCCCTTCAGATATTTAAAGACATGTATGTGGTCCCCTGCTTTTTCTTCTTGAGGCTGAACAAGCCTGACACCCTCAGCCTTTCCTTACAACAGAGATGTTCCCATTTCTTAATAGAAATGTTCTTCTTCATAGCCCTCTGCTGGACCTGCTCCAGGAGCCCCATGTCTCACTGGTATTAAGGAGCCCGGTACAGGACACTCCAGAAGTAGCTTCACCAGGGCTGAGTAGAGCAGGATCAACTCCCTTGACCTGCAATACTATTCCTAATGCATTTGCCTTCTTGGCCATTAAGACACACTGTTGGCTCATGGACAGTTTGTTGTTCATCAGGACTCTCAGGTCCTTCTTCAGAGCACTGCTTTCCAGCAGGTCAGGCCCCAGACTGTCCTGATCCATGGGATTACTCTCCTCCAAGTGTGGGACCCTGCAATTTTTTTTGTTGAACTTCAGATAGCTCTTCTCGGCCATCTCTCCAACTTGACAAGGTACTTCTGAAAAACTCTACAGTACTCTGGGGTACTGGCCATTCCTCACAGATTTGTTTTGAAGGAGAATGTTGTGGGAGATAATTTCAAAGAGTTTACTAAAGCTCAGATACACAACGTGCTTCAGTTTACGCATGTCTGTACATGCCATAGTGCATATGGAAACATTTGCTTAAAATCACAACGGCAATCACATGAACTTACATGATCAAAACCTAAAAATCCTGATTTCCACTTATGCTTTGCCTAATGCAAACAGGATAAAAATTCTCCACATGAAGTTTGTGGGGATCCTGGGGATCATCCCCTAAGTTAAGGAGACACAAGAATCTTCCCTCAAAGCTGTTAAAACCCCATTGACTCTTCCCCAATTCCTATGTCTGTTCCTATGTCCCTGAGCCACTCCCTCCCTATTCCCTGATTGTTCCTCATATTTGTACTGCCTGAGACCAGGTTCACCCCCCAGCCCCTCAGGACAGGGTGGGCAGAGCTGAGACATGTGTGCTGGGGGGACTCTGAACATCTCACTGCACAGCTGAATTAAACATCTGTGGATACCATACAAAGGCCCTTTCTGCTTCTTTACCCTGGACTTTACTAGCAACAATTTAGGCTGCTACAAATGGTGCTCGAACGTGAGGCCTCCTGATTAATCTGAAATTTGCTGCATAATTTTTTATTACCTTAGTTTATTAACAAGTTTGAGCATATCATATGGAGTTGCTTGATGAGGAATTTTACAAAACAACAAGGATTGCTTTGCTTGTGAGAGGTAAGATTTGAGGGAATTTTTCTTTGAAAGTCTGATAATGTTTTGCAGAATTAAAAAAAAATCTATTGTGTGTTCTTTAGTATTAATCTCACTTTGGCGATAATGTTAAGTAATCCTGGAATATGAATTCTCTGTAATTAAGCTGTCTTCTCTAGATATGTACCTATTTTAATATTAAGTACTCTAGAAGAAAAAGTATCTTCAAATATACAGCCCTTCAAAGCAAGTGAGGAGGGAAGAGTTACAAAGTCTATGGTTGTATACCTCCTCTCAGGTCACCAGTTGTTTTATGTATGCTGTCAAACACTGACATGTCTAAGATTGCCTCTAAAGGGCAAGCACATCTCACCTTGAAGCTAGAGATTTGCATTCTTCACCAGGTTTGGGCAGGCAGAGTGTAGAGATAGCAGTAGGGCTCAGCATATTATTTAGTTGAGTAATCAAGGGGAAATTAGTCTGGGAAAGCATGCTTGTTGTGTTAATAATGTCCCTTAGTTGTTTTGGGTTTTTTTGGGGTTTTTTTTTGTGATGGTGGTTTGGTTTTGGGGTTGTTTCTTCCAGGTTTTGTTTTTTTTTTCATATTGTCTCAGGTTGTTTTTCTATTAGAGCATTTCACTGACCTTTTTTTATCTCCTCTGGAGAGTCTGTGAGACTCCACCTCCTGGAGTCATCCTCTAAAAGGGAGAGATATTTTTCTAGTGATTTAATTTCACTGCTCTTGGCATACTCAGGATTCATCTCAAATCTGGTTTGAAAACATCACAGCATAGATGAGTGGGATTTATCTGCCTTAATGTCATGTTAGATGTCTCGTAATATTTACTCATGGCCAGATGACCACTTCAAAGGTCAACTGTAGAATCCAGTTTTATATCTGACTGTCCAATTTGGAGGTCATTAGACATCTATATTTACCCAGTCTCACCTACAATGTGTTCTCACTCTGGACGTTTGTCTAAAATAAGTTGGTGGCTGACCACTAATGCCCATTCACCCTTTGAACCAAAACTTTGTTTCCAATGTACCAAGAGCTTTTTTTTCCTCTTATGATAATTTTCAGTATTTATAGTGCATATTAAGCTTATTTATTATACTATTGAGCTGAACATTTGCAAACCCAGAAAAAAAATGGACGCTTGCCGATCACTACCAGTTTAATACTAGGTAATTAATTATACATCACATCAAGAAGAAAAAATTGATCGTGAATTCCCAGAAATAGTGTAGAGCAGTAAGAAAAACTCTTGGACAAATTTGGGATCCTAAGAAAACACACTAATAGAAGCAAAAAAATAAACACATCACAGTGGCTTGATATATTGGGTTCCACTCGCTGTGAATACTGTAGCTTAGAGAAAACAGGATCTAAAACTAATTAATAATGACAACAGCAATTGATGATTAGTATGGAAAATAATATTAATGTTAATAATATTAATATTAATGACAACCATATTATTATGTTATTTGCTTAAAATTACAATGGCTATCACATGAACTTAATAGATTATTAATAATGATATGATGATTTCCACATATCTCAGTGATTCAACAGAACCTTAGTACCTGTAGGAAACATATCAGGATCAAAGAACAACTCAGCTGTCATTCTTAATAGAATGATATTTCATAAATATATCAATAACAGTTCCTGTAAGATTAACTGTTTCCAAAGATCAATTATCCCAGTGAAATATTGAAAGAAATATTAAGGGGGAGATCAGTGGAAGTAAGGCAGAAAATGACAGCAAAGGTTAAAACAAAGAATTTAGCAATGAAGAAATTAAAAAATTCTGAAGAAGAGAATGTAGAAAAAACCCAGCTAGGACTGTAACTCTGATAATATTTTAAAAGGAAAAACTCATCCAGACTAATATTTTTTCTGTTGTATGAAACAATTACAGGCTCATGTGCAATTAAGCCATGTCACCGATAACACATTTCAGTTATAACCAAGAATCAGCAGCCTTGCTCAGGAACAGTTGGCACTTTATCTATAAATGGCTTACACTATGCAATGTAGGTACTTTTGGTTTTCTAGCTATTACTATTCATAGTTTCTCTGGTTTGACTAGAGATTTCTGATACTTACCAACCATATTACAAGGAGGCAAATGAGAAGCAGTAAACGTAACATTTTTGTGGAGCCAGTTTTACAATTTCTGATGATACCTTTACTTGAACATTTGTTCACAGACTTTGGGGTATATTTGGAAACTTCTTTGTCAGTAGCAAGGTTTCTTGCCCTGAAAAATGGTACCTTGTTGAGGGGCAAAACAAAACCTGCATGTGAAACCAAGGGTTAGGCTTGCCTTTCATTTTCCTATTTCTTATGAATGATTCATAAGTATTTTAAAGCAAGCAGTGCATTTTAATAAAGCTAACAAAGCTTCCTGTCAAAGGAAATTCACATATTTTACTGGTAGAATTTACAGTACAGTGAGTAATTCTTTGTCTCATATGCTTTTTTAAAACTGACTTGTCTTCTACATATAGCAGATTATTTCAGTGTCATAAATCCATAGACACTAAAGCTTATCAAGTAAAAAAAAAAACATGTTTATTTCAGTTTTTACATTGTATACCTAGATTCCATTTATGGAGTCACATTAACTAGGAATCTACATACATATAGTTGGATATTCTGATAGAGTGCTTACAGAAGCAATGCAAAATAATTTCTTGGTGATTTAATAAAGCCTTATTTAACTTTTTCTTGGATAATATATTGATTTTTATTGGTATCGTACACTGTGAGATTAGTTAGGTGACAATAACTAAGAAAAGTGTTTAATGAGATTATATTGGTATAGGCCATATTTGAGGAGGTCTGGTAAGCAACGTATATAATGGAGAAAAATAATCTCTACAACAGATTTAGCTCTAAATTTGTCCAAAACCAGGACTAGATAATTTTTGTTGTTTGAGTATTTTTAGTGGTTTCTGAAGTTTCAGAATCAATGCCTCTTTTTTTCCTCTAAGACAGTAATTATTTGATTGTATTCAACAAGTTTTCAAATTAACTTATTTTCCAGTATTTGGCATGAAATATGAATTTACATATTACTCCCAAGCGACTTACAAACCTTGAAAATACTATTGCTATATATTATTTCAATTAGACTTCCAGTTTTGAACACCTGTTCAAAAGTAAAAAAATCTGTGCATTACTATAATACAGATTCTATGGATTTACCAAGATAAATGTCTTAACATCTACGTATTCTTCTGCAAAGGACAGTCCAATGCCTATGCTGTTTTCTGTTTGGTACAGTATCATGCCAAAAAACCCATTATTTTCTAACCATGTTTAAAACTTTGTTGTTCTGTTTCAGTGAAAGCTACTGAATTAGCAGGATTTGGTGTCTTCAGTGGAAATTTGCAAGACTGTTTGGTGGAAAACATATTTCTAAGGTCTTGGTTAGTCATCAAGTAAGTATCTTCTTGTCTTTTTGTATAGTTTTCATTCAGATTCAGTGAAGTGTTTGTGCTGTCTTAGATAAATAACAAAAACTGCTTCACCATTATTTTGACTTTATTTTCTATTTTTTTTCTATTTTCTATTATTTTATTTTCTATAAAGACATTTTTCTCTAATGTCTGATGCTCCTTTGCAGTCTGTAACCATTTAAGTCAGTGTTTATAAGTATTTTAGCAAAAAAACCCAATAAACCAAAAGGAACCTTTTATTGGTATTCCTTTTCAGTATCTCGCAGAATGCTGTTTACTGATCTGTATTATTCCCAAACTATGAAGCATAAAGCGGTCTAAGAATTGATTATATCATCTAAACATGTTGTGCCATTAGCCTGGTAAAATTGTTCAAGAATGGTGTCGGGCAATCAATTAATAGAGTAGATAAATCCAGTTAAATGGTACTCAAGCAGTCAGGTTCTATTATTATCATCCACCTGACTGATTTTTTGATTTTCTCATTTTTCTTACTATATCACATGCTTTGTTCTTCCTACCAATATAGTCTTAAATATTTTTAATTCAATTAGATGAAGAATAAGCGACTCAGTTAAAGCAGATCCTTTTGTATCTTCTTATACTTGTTTTCTGGCATAATGTTTGTTATAATCTATTCTTTCACTTTGTTTCTAAACCTAAAGAAGAAAATTGAGTTGGTGGGAAAGTATTTAAAATAGGAAAACTATAATAAACCCACAAACTATAAAACTGCAAAATAGGGGGAAGCTAGCTGTAACATTTAAATTATACTTACATATTCTACTCAGATTATAGACTTAACCTTTTAAAAATTATGCTGATGGAGATTAGAGAATTGATTCACTCTTTATGTCACTTCTCACCAAAATATAGTGATTTTGATTTTTCTCAAAGAATGCATAAATGTTATTTAAAGTTTCAGTTAAAAATTGCTTTAGTCTGAGTGGCAATGCTTGAACCTGTCTCAAAGATATGTATTTGAATCCATTTACAAAATATTCTGTGCCTTAAAAAATCATACTCCATGAAAACCAGAAATGCTTATTCATTCATTTGCTCTTTGATGTAATAGAAAATTAAATTTTTGTGATGGAAATGATTTCCAATTAGTCAGTCCAATAACATAATCGTGTTTCACCACTTGGCTGTATCAAAAATAAAAAAGTATTTCTCTATAAGGAACAAGTAGCAAGTTTATTTATTTTAGAATTTGATACCTCTGACTGTCTGTGTCATTCATTACTGTTTCACTTATAAAATAAGAGAGTGACAATTATGTCCTCATTTTATTGCTGTTTGATGAATTTAGCCTAACAAAAATAGATGTTGATTGAACTGGTTGAATTATCAGGAAGGATGGTGAAACTCAGTTGTTTAATTCAGTTAGCATTCATAGAAGGCAGTATCTAACCTAAAGTTGGGAAGCAAAATTAGGCTTAATCTCAGTGAAAAATAAAACATGATTCGAGTACTAGAAATCACAGAAATAAAATTTGAGTTTTTAACCAGCTGACCTATCTAGAAAATTTTGCACAGCTAGTCTTCCTCTGGATTAATTTGGGATAATTGTGACTTTGTATGCCTCTAAGGCTCTAAATGCAATCTGAATGTATAGATTTATAAGTTCAATATTTTTTCTTGCATTGTAGCAAGTTAATTCAATTTACAAGTTCAGAATTATTATATTAGAGTGCACATCTGTGTCATTCAAAAGGTTACACAAAATACTTACATATGCTCCATCTTCAAACGTACAAAAAAGGGAATATATTCAGTCACATGCCTGCTCATAGACTGAGAAATGTGATATAGATTATATTAATTTTTTCTTACTATATCCCATTATTTTGTTCATACTCTGTCTAAATAACTTCAGTGTTCATTGTGTCAGTCATGTATTGCCAAATTAGAGAAGACGGTTTTAAGGATATGAATACTACAGGTGTCTTTTTCAATGTCATTGAATGTCATGAAGTTTTTTATATGCTTTTAAATGTTGAATAATTTTGCTTTGCTTTTGTATTTTCTTTTATCACATTAACATAAAAGTGAAAAATCTCTTATATAGAACAAAGCCACTTGTTTGGTTTTTTTTCTGGTGTGCTAAAAAAGCAAGAGTGATTGATGTCAGTGACTCATGGTTAAAGATGTTGGTGCTTGAGTGGTGTGACACTGGCATGATCCTTTGAGTCTGTTAAAGTGTAACAGAGAGAGGTGGAATAAAGACATTCAGTTATGAGGGATTCATCAGATGACGCGTTCCCAAATTCACAATCTCTTTGACTACTATTATAATGCTGTACATCTTCAAAACTGCTGAAGAGCTTTAGCTGTTCAGTTCCCTTTCATGTCAGCAGGAGATAAACTTTGTTGCAATAAGATATAGCTGGCTTCCTTTCACATACTTTTTTTACTGAGCAAAAGAGACCCTGATCAGTTTTGTTATGATGTGCTATGTATTCTGAAAGTATGTTTAGGCAAGTAGTAAATTAATTAAGTAATGAAGCATGCAATAAGTCATCAGTGCAAGCTTTCATATTGTCTTAGCAGTCTCATTTTCATCTATACATTTCTTTCTCTATTTCAGTCCCTGAACACTTAATATGTTTTCAATATGTCCTGGATACTATTTTATCTGTGGTCCATATTTTATGTTCCTTTTACTTAGATGAAAAAAAGAAAATTTGGATTTGTGACTGTGAGTTACTAGTTGCAAAAGCAACAAAACAACTTCCATCTGAGTTAGTGCTAAAATTTCTATTGATGTTATTAATTTTAGGACAGAATTTTACAGATATGATACTCAGTGAACCGAAAATAGGTTGTACATGCTCAATAAATGCTCATAGTGTTTTTAAGAAAGAAATAAATAATATATCTATCACAAATATTTGCTTTTTTAGTAAAAACCTTCTTACATTTAAATAAAAGATTATACTAAAATATGAGAAATAAAGCATCAGCTGCACTACAGCAGTACTTGAAATTTCTGAACTTAAAGGAAAAGTAGTGTTGGCCATATTCTCTCTTTTTAGTTTGAAGGCAAATGGGCCATGAATGAAATGAAAACACTTTTTATGGTGTAAATTTCTTGTACCATCAGAAGAATTTTTATGGTTATAAGAAATGTAATATCACCTCTATTTGAAGGACCTCCACCAGCCAGGAAGGATGAGTTGGTATGGGGACAGCTATGTTAGCTTTTTGGTATTGATTAAGATAATTTGAGATTCTTTAGGACATCTTGCCATGAACTGGTGTGTAGCTCAGCTACTCTATTGCATCCTGAAGAAATGTAAATGGTAGAAAAAGCAAGATGCATTTAAAAAAATGCAATGGGTGTAATATGTGTTTTCAATACGATTTGTCATAGGACTGTCATAGGATGCTACATTAGGGACTGATACCTTGTATATGAAAACAAATGAGGTGAAGAATCTTATGTCTAGAAATAAATATGTATATTTAAAAACATAGTAGTTCCACAGAAACATAGTGAAGACTTAATTGAATGATACATGTAACAGACAAAAGACAATTAATTCCTACCCAGACTGCATCACCAGTTTGCATTAAAGGAATGCAAGCAGAGATTTTCCAATTTGCTTCTTTCTGATGATGAACTGCAAGAGACAGGCAACAGTCCAAAACTCATCAGTTGATTTTACAAAGCATATTCAGCAAATGAACTTATGAAGAAAAGTAGTTAATAGAAATGTATTTAAGCTTTGAAGAAATATACCCACTAACCTCTTTTTCAATTGGTTAAAGAATAAGAAGACTTAGCATAGTTTATGATCAACATTTGGACCCTATGCTCTACTTCTTGAATATCATCTCTTCCACAGAAATAATGGATAGAAATTCTCATGCTTGGCATCCATTAAAATTTTGCACTGTCTTAAGAATCATAATGAGAAATAATTGAGTACAATTTTGGATTTTGGCCCGTAAGCATTTATAAAGGAACAGACTAGCATGCTAAATATTATTATTTGCAAACCTACAAAACTGATTATACAAAATGACAGTGAATTTTTCTTTTCACTAATCCTAAAATATAACAGGCAGGAGATGCCTCTGCTCAAATTAAGGTGCAAACTAGACCATATGCCAAAGTCAACAATACAGAACTTTTTTAAAAATAAATGTGAGACAGAGAGACAGAAAGAACTAGAAAAGGGAAAGGGAGAGGCAGAAGACCTGGCAGAGTGTGGAGGGGAGAGAGAGAGAGGGCAGAGGGTGAGCTAGGTTACTCTACCTGACTACTATTGAATGGGGACTATCCATTACCACCATCATACCATCATGGATTTTTTTCATTGTTTATTGCTTCTGAAGGACTACTTACCTCAAGAAATCATTGTAAAATTCTGTTATTTCCTCAGGCTCTTCACAATATTTTTACATAACTAGATGATACAGATGATTTGCACAGTAAGGATTAATGGGAGACAGCTGACTAGAGATTTTGTTTGTTATTAATTATGTGCAGTCTTTATGATTAGATAATTATTTTAAACCAATTAAGTATCCCTTGATGGACTCCCGAGTTGTATCTAGTTATGATAATTGCTGAAAATATTCTTGTGAGATTGTTACAGTTCACTGTGATACGTGCTTAGCCTTGTCTAAACATTGTGACAAGAAAATAAGTAATCCTTAGTCATATAAATATACTTAAGTCCTGGTTTAGGACAAATTTGGGAGGAAACCTCCAAAGGGGTCCCTCTAGAAAGCGGATTCAAGCAGCCCTTTCTCCAGCTGGTTCAGGAAAAGATTTCCTTGGAGAAAAAGTGGAGAAAAACTGTTTATTTAACAGGCAAAGTATTCACAAGTATAAGAAATGAATAATATTAAACAATAAAACCTCTTGCTGTTCTGAAGAGCTGGCAAATTTACAAAGTCCTTTTTGTGGGATATAGGTCAGCTTGATCAGTCTCTTATCAGTCCTTCCTGCACTGGAAATGTTTGCATCC